CTGTTTGATGTCTCTCAGGACGTCTGTGACAGATTCCTGAAAGCGGAGGAATGCTGAGGAATATCTGCCATGGGTTTGGTGGCCCTCATAAACACCCGAGTGCTGTGAGAGAGTATAAGAGTGTGCGTGAACAATGAACAGGAACAGACTGGTGCACATGTTGTGTGTTACCTGACGCACGCACATTTCATGAACGTCTTGAGGAAAACCACATGTTCCTCCTCCGGTTCCTCTCTGTCCTCCCACATCATCTCCTGACGGGTCTAACATTCACTCGGAAGAGCTTTCATAGATCCGACTCACGAACAACATATCATTAGTTCATAATTCACTCATCATGCTGCATGTTTGTTGTTGTGCGCAATCAGTGACAATGTTGCAACAGTAAGATTATTTGTATTGTTTTCTCTCTCATTTATTTTCAGCAAACTCACATAAAAGGTCATGTGCTTTAGCTCTAATAGATTCTCAGTGCAGTGACTGAAGAACGCAGACATTCAAGACCCGTTAATGGAACCGAATGTCATGACAATCATTTGGCTCCAGTATTTTTTTAAAGAGGGAACAAGGTCTGAACAATCCAGATTTACACAAACATAATACTACAATTAAGACATTGTTGGTAAGCAAGTCACCTGATCAGAATGCTAGTGACCTTTGGTGACCAAGATTAAAATGCTGTCAGGCCCTTTGGACCACCAGTGACGGTCCGAGCGACGAGAGGTTTCTGGCGGTCTGGGAACGGGTACGAGGCATATCTGCAGAACTAATGCAGGGGAATGTGGGGAATTTGACAGGGCCTTTGTATGGAGGTGTGTGTTTGTGAGTGTGTTTGCGTTCATTGTTGAGATGTGCCACTCTAGTGTGGAAGAAGAGAAGAATGGGAACGAACGAGCCGTGAGGTCAGAATGACATGAATGAAATAAAGCAACAAGGAATACATGTACGCTAGCTACTACTGCAGTGTGATTTTAGTTTTGCTTTGTCAAACCTGTAACACATACATATAGAGTTACTTTCCACTGTAAAATAGTTACATCTACAGTAGATTTGGCAAGTGAATCATCACCATAATGGCCACTTTTCATAAATGATGACCATAAAGCAGGTTAGAAATAAAGGATCCATATAATCAACATAATTATATAATATGCTTCAGTTCACTTAAAGATTTTACAGGTATTGCTGTACAGATTTTATGTGGATTATATAAGTCTGTACATTGCCAAAAAAAGGGTTTCTTACTCTTAAGTCAAGATACATTTACTTGAGAAGCAAAGTGACTGAAGATATTAAGTTTTGTTTTCTGAAAAAAAAAACAAATGTTCAAAATGAAATGAGTTTATGCTTAAAACAAGGACAAAAATATCTGCTAATGGGCTCAGAAAGAAAAACCTTAAAGGGAAAATAAGATTTTTTGACCTTGTTGGCAGATTTTTTTTTTTTTCTTGTTTTAAGCATAAGTTTGCTTCATTTTGATAAGATATTAAGTCTTGTTTTCTGAAAAAATGCAAGTCATTTTGCTTCTCAAGTAAATGTATTTTGATTTATGAATGTTTAGATATTTTTACTGGAAAACAACAAAAATAATAAGGGCTGGGTGGGTTTGGGTGAGGCTGTACAGCTTTCAGTGTACTTTGGATTTCTGTTATGAAATGCTGTTTTTCTTTAAATCCATTTCTATACATACACTAAAACCAGAACTTACTGGTGTGAGGGTCAAACAGGTCTGTAAACAGCCATAAAACCCAGATTTAGAAAGTTTTAAAGGGTCTCAACAAATAGAGTGCACATCAGTCCTGATCAAACACACTTGTTAAATAAGTATAAAGAATGGCATTGGTTTTGTACATTTAATTTTTGTTTAAAGTTATTAATAAAAATGCTGTTCAATTAGCTTGTTTTTGTGTTTTGCTTTGGTACCGAAATTGGTACAGAGAACCGTGGATTTTCACTGGTATTGGTACCGAATACTGAAATTTTGGTACCGTGACAACACTACTTGCATTGGTTTATTATAATCGTGAATGTGAGTTGTTTTGAGTTTATCTTAGTTTTATTTGCTCTTTGAGTGTAGCATGTGTGCACTTCAGTTTTGTTCAATACTGGCGCAGTATTTCGTGCATCAGTGCTTTGATATGGTTTCCAGCAGCAGTCTGCATGTGCTCTATGAGATTGGTGTGTGTGTGTGTGTGAGAGAGACGTGTGCATGTGCACATACAGTGATTGCATGTGTGCTGTGCACGCCAGCTGTGTTCGTGTGGTTTGCATGTTCTGGTGGATAACATGAGCATATGTTACATACACGGGATTAATCCTTAAGATTTACTCTAAAACTCGTTAAAATCTCAAATGGAATGTCAAATTACACCACAAACACATGCACCAAATGCATTACACCATGCTTTTTGGGAACGTACAGTAGCCAGTGTTGAATGTGTGATGTGATTATTCAGTCTTACACTACTCCATTATGGTCTTATTTTAGCTGGATTAATGGTACACTGAAAAACTTGGTGTAGGATTTCCTTAAAAACAATTTTCACTCATTTCAAGTAAATTTCACAAAGAAACGGCTTAGTAACACATTGAATTAAACATGAAATTTTGAAGTAGAAAGACTGAAATAGTGTTTTCTTATAAAACGTACTCCAATAATCTTTTTATTTGCGACTTCGAAAAATAATTTTCAGTTGTTTATCCTAAATTTGGTTTTATTGTGCAAAACGCAGTCTTTCTGAATAAACAAACCAGACAAAAACATATTTTGTGAAATTTCTTTATTGAGAATCTGAGAGACATTTAACATCTCCTGGTTGGTGAAAATCTGCTTTGAGAGCTTTAACTTGGTGTAGAACTTGAACTTGATGTGTAGAAGTTATATTGAGTAAACTTTAATGTTTATTCCTTCTCCTCAATACAGGATCACAAACTCTCAGACACTTTAGGATGCGCCACAGAAATCAGTTTACAAACATTTTGGAGCGTGTAGCCCATGTGAAACTGTTGGGGATCTCGGTTCCTCTGAGCCCACGAGAGAGCAGCTGTTATTGAGATCCAGACTCAGCGGCGTTTGCTTTCTTCTCTGTTTGTGTGTAGTTTGAGGGTGTGTATGATGTCACTGCACAGCTGCTCACTAATGCACGATTGCAAATGAGCGGGCGTTCATGCATTCTTCACCTGCACTCTAACAGACATTCAGGGGATCTGTTACCACAACAGCAAAAAAAAAGCATAATTTGTTGATTTAATTAAACCTTTTAAGTTGCAAACATTATTTTGATGAGTTCTGTAGATAGTAATGTTGATCAACCTTAATATTGTGTGTAATTCAAACTGAAATTTGTGTTATTTTTAATTAATTAATTAATTTATTTATTGAAACAATGCTGGGCAGTGGATTTCTAAGCCCAAGCATGTTTTGCATAGGACTGATAAAGAGAATAAATGTTGAAATTAAGTGTTATTTTATGTTTTATTAATAGTAAAATTAGTGTTTAATGCTGTCATATTTGAAATTTAAAAGAGTTTATGTTGAAGTTTTTGTAGTTATCATTACACTGAGGAATAGAGCTCTTACTTGTTCTTTAAATGTGCTGTATGTGTGACTGTACTAAAGCATAAAAATACCATAATATGTTTTCAGATGTTTAGGAAACATGCTACGTTCACATACTTTTTTTCCGTGAAAAACAGTGCTATTCTACTTTGAAATGTGTGTTTCATGTCAGAATGTCTGTTTTTATTTTGGTCTGTGTGACTCCGCCCACTGCTAATTTACCCAGTAGTATTTTGACACCCCGGGTTGCCAGTTGGCAGAAAACACAGCGTATTGCAGCCATGGAAGCCAGTAAACGAACTGGGTCAGAGTTCGCAGATTCTACCTGACCTAAAAAGCCTTAGCATCCATCTAAAACGCTCTGTGACTAGGATAAATCAACTCATTAACTTACAGTATAAGGCTCCTTGCCTTCTATTGTCAGTTGCACGTGTTGCTCTTGCTGGGTGTCCTCAATCTGGCAACCCGCATGAGCATCGAGTCTTGAGGAGGAATGGCAGGAAAAACAACTAATATTTTTAATTTGACTGAAGTACCCATTTCAGCTGCAGTATTACATACTGAACCTTTGAATATGCATGCTAAATGAGTTACATTTAGTGTGTGCTGTGCTAGCTGTTAATTTGATCTGAAATAGATAAGATGAATTGGTTCCAGGGCCACAACTCCAATTATGAGTGAATCATGTTCAAACTAGTTGGAACAACTTAATTTTTAATGAGCAATCAACTTAAAGATTTGTGACAAATTAAGTCCCTCGAACTCAATGTAGTTTGTTGGTCGAACAGCTTAATTAGAAGTTGTCATCATAACTTAAAAAATAATTATGTTTATTTTCTTGATGAGCCAAAACAATTGTTTTCAGTATTATTGTACTTTAATATTACTGCTTTCTATGTGCTTGTTTCACTCCTGATAACTGAATGCATAAGAATGATTGTTTTGTGTTTGAATTAGCCTAAGGGTTGACCGATATGTGTTTTTCAGGGCCGATGCTGATTATTACAGATCAAGTAGACCGATAACCGATATTTTGAACTGATATATATGTCTGGTGTAAAAATGAAAATGAATGTCAAAATTAAGAATAACAAGGGCTCTGACAAAAACTTTCTTTAAATGCTTTTAAAATATTTAATCGGCAAATCGGTTTTGAAAATGACCGATACCGATAACCATAAAAATGCTTAATATCGGCGCCAATAATCGGCCGACCCCTAGTTTGAATCACTGTTTTATACACTTAGACTAATAAATCTGCAAAAACCAGAATTTACTGCTTCAGAGGGTCAAACAGGCCTGTAAACAGCAATAAAGCCCAGATTTACATTTAAAAGTTTTATGCACTCATTTATACGCTCTTGATAACTTAATGCATGTGAGTGATTTTTATGTTTGAATTAAAGAAAGCATGTGCTCCTTTCTCTCGTTTTCCTCTCAGCAGCTATAGACTGTGAGGTGCGGCAGTGGGGTCCCTGGTCTCCGTGTTCATCCGTCTGTGGGGCGGGGACTACAGAGCGAAGCCGGCAGGTAGCCACGCCCCCACGCAACGGAGGCACGCCCTGTCCCGACCTCAAACAGCGCCGCGGGTGTCTCGCACACTCCGAGACCTGCAGTGCAGCTAAAGGTAATATACATACTAGCTCTGTTAAATCTTGCTGTCTACACTTCTTAGGCAGCATCCAAACTGCAGTGGACTGTTTTCACATATCTGGGTTTCTCAGAAGTGGAAGTCGTCATAGTTGGGTATAATTATATAGTGGAGAACGGAAACTACAACAATGATATTTTTTTTCCCAATTTGCTTCAGTAGCAAATGAAAAAATCCACAATGGCATTTCTATGACTTTCCCAAATAAGAAAAAAAATGTAGAGAAAGGAAGAAGTCAAATTTGCCATCACTCCCTCAGCCGCTGTATTAGAAACACTCATGCAGAAAGAATTTATGAAAGGTTTTGCAAGATTTACCATGGGATTGGCTTCTCCATGAATGATGCATGCAATGCTGCTTAAAAATTTGGCTCATCTTAAAATAAGTAGATTTTAGAAAGGCCTTTGCATTGGCAGCATGCATATAATCCCTTAAAATAATACTGTCTATGTAGGAAGCTTACTAGGTTTTGAGTCAGTGTGTGTGTGTGTGTGTGTGTGTGTGTGAGATCCAGGTTGAGATAAAGAGGGAATGAAAAATTTGTGTTTGTTTATAGAATTGGAGTCAATGTCAGTGCATGTGAATTTCCACATCAGTATCACATTATATATCAGTACTAAATCATTCCACCTTTTTACCAGTTAGTCACTGTTAAATGTCTTTGCAGTTCATGTTAATAGTGTTGCATTGTGATAAATGCATGCAAATATACCATAAATATGTTTCAATCTCAATCTGCATGTATAATACAAGAATGGGAAATATTGAATGCACGTTTAAAACCTGTTTTAGTAAATCACGAAGCACACTGCTGTGTGCATGTAGGGTTAGTGTGTGTTTGTTTTGTGCTTTGTCTCTGGAAGAGTTTAATTTGCTCTCTCTCATTATCTTGATCTCTTCCTCCTCTTCAGAAGTGGCCAAAATCCTGCCTGACTCATTCAGGCGGAACTTTAAGGACCCTTGGAGACGGCCGCACATGCTTATAAAGGAGGAGAAGAAGAGGTGAGAGCGACGTTCTAGAAAGCAGAACTAATGCAGCTGCAAACTGCTTTGAAAAAGAACAAAACATTATAGTACATTAACAGATAATACAAACACATTCCTGCGACCGAAGGCCTTCCTGTCTTCTAGCAAAGGGAGTCTAAACATTAAGAGTTGTCTAGACTTGCGGTACAATGACCCTCAGAACTAGAACAAGATGAATATGAAGCTGTTTATTAGGATTAAATGAAATGATCTTCAGTCATAGTTTCGGTCAAACACACCTAATATGGGGTGGGTATCTGTGTTTTAACTCAACGTTATCCAAGTATATACTTATAGAAGCTTGTTTCCACCACAGGATAAAAAATTAAAAAGGTAATTGCGACTTTTTAATCTCACAATTCAGACTTTTTTCCTCACAATTCTAAGAAAAAATACCCAGAATATTTGCAACCCAGAATTGCAAAATATATACTGAGAAATGAGAGATATAAACAGAGATACAAACTCAGAATAAAACTGAGAATAAAAGTCAGAATTGTGAAATAAAATTTGCAATTACGTTTTTTATTTTTTACTACATGGTGGGGGGAAAAACAGACAGAATCGCAAGATATCAACTCAGAATTTTGACTTTCTTTCTCGCAATTCTGAGTTTGTCTCAAAATTCTGACTTTTTTCTCAGAAAAAATACTGAATTGTGATATAAAAAGTCGCAATTACCTTTTTTCAAATTATTATTATTTTTATTCTGTGGCAGAAACAAGCTTACATATATGCTGGATATACTTGGATAACTAAATGTAAAACTACAAATAAATCAGTTAATTAAAGAAAAGCATCATCAAGATTATTGTGTCTATATTTATGGGTCGATATGTAAACCTCAAAGTAGGCATGAAATGAAAGTTCACCCTTTCTATTTTATAAATGCATATTATAGATCTTAATGTGAACTATTCATTTATCTATGTTTCATTAAAAAAAAAAGACCTTGTAATTTTCAATTAAAATGTCATAGCCTCACGTTCAAACTCACGTTCATCAGAGAGCCACGCCCACATCTCAGCATCCAATCAACAACTGATGCATAGAACTAAGTCCCCGCTCTATATTTTTCTTTATCCGTAATTCATTGTACTCGGATTTATGGAAGAAAAGATCTGTCGCTACTTCCATTTCATTGCGACTTTAAAGGGATAATTCCTCCAAAAATTAAAAACCTGCCATCATTTACCCTCATTTCATTCCAAACCCATATGATTTTCATTTTGTTAAAGTTATTTAGCATGTAACAGAGTGCGCACAATGAAAATGAATGGGCTGTAAGACTGTAAAGCTCCAAAAATGACAAAAAAAAGTATCTTTAAAGTAGTCTATACAATTTGTATGCTATATTCTAAGTATTTGTGTGAGAAACAAACCAAAAGTCATTATTTACTGGTAATCTTTTCTTCCACCTTGGCGTATAAATCTCAAAATGTGTACATCACTCACTGTCTGATTCACTTCCTATTCATTATATACTACATGATGTGCCATTCACTATATAGTAAACAGTAAATGTGACCGATTTCCCCCTTTTTATAGTGTAGGGGGCGGGACGCTTCAGATTTCAGAGAGCATTCGATTGGACGGAAAATCTGATGAGAAGCTGAAGTGCAGAATGATGTCATCAAAATGTTTGTTTCGTAGACTGTAAATGTTGAATGCATATACTTTCTAAATGTGAATTTTGTCATTATTTTAGGAGCACACTAGCTTATAGATAACCTAAGACAGGTTGTATTTTCCTGAATACATCATCCGGGGTTAAATCCACAACTTCTACTACAAGCCCATCCTTTATATCCCTTGATAAACCCCGAGGAACACCTGCCTGAGGCCAGGAAATCAGATTAGTGTGTGTGTGAGAATGAACGTCAGATAATGAGGAGTTCAATAGGATGGCAGGAATTCAATAGCAGGTGCAGGTTCAAATGAACTGAGATTTAACGACTCTGTGAGGTTCCTTCCAAGCTGCGCACACAGGAAACCCCAGAGCAAACCCTTTCATTAATCACAGGTGTATAGTTTCAGCATGATGTGTGTGTGTGTGTGTGTGTGTGAGAGAGAGAGAGACCAGGCCGACATACAGACCACAGAGGAGAAAAGGACGCCACACAGGCATAACACATCAAACTAATGAAATCCAGTGTGTGAAGACTGACCTTTGACCTTTACACAGCCTGCAAAAAAAGTGTTTAAAAGTCCTAGTGGAAATAAAAACAATTCAGTGTTCATTCATCATCAAGCAGGCTTCATGCATTGTGCAACTAAACGGCTTTGCTCATATCATGAGTGTGGCAGGTTTGCAAGATTTTCAGTGAATAATGCTTTAAATTTAGTCTGCAAATGTTATTTTTGTCCTTTCAAATCTCTGTCTGCAGTTACTGCGTGCAGATGCGTGTGAAGCAGGCGAGCGCTGCGTGTAAGGTGAAACCGTGGAGCGCCGGGTTGGTTCGCGAACGCTCCGTATGCATCGAGTGTCAAAGCGACGCCATGACGACTGATAACCGCTGCCGTGGCGACGGGCTGCAGAACATTAGGTACGCGTCACATACTGTACATGCATACGGATTCACAAAACGTTCTTATTAATAAAAATCTTCTTACCTGCTATTTTCTTTTTTTTGTTTTTTTCTAAAATTATGAAGGTTTTGTTTTCCCAAAAGATTTCTTAAGAATGTTCTAAAGATACAACTTCAGAAGAATTTGAATTCCTGAAAAGAATGTTCGTAAAAATCATCGTAAATAACCTTTTATAATTAAGATAACCGCCAACTTGTCTTTAATCCCCAAAGGTAAGCTGTTTAATGAATTTGCTGGGTTGTTTCAAATATTGTGCATTACAAGCACAAATAAACGCAGCAGACCGCTCGATCTTGAGTGAGTATCTTTAGAAATAACTATTTAAAATATACAGTCTGTTTACATTTTTCTGGACTCCGTTTTAATGGTTAAATGAAACTTTATTAATCAAAAAGCATGCCTAATTAATTGAAATCATTAAAATTTAACAGCAGTTTATTATAAGTTTAACAAAAAAAATATTTTTAAATCCCAATGAAATCCATTTATTTTTTTCCCCCCAAATTCAGTTTACATTTTTTCTGGATTCCACTTTTTCTGTTTACATTATTCTGGACTCTGTTTTAATGGTTAAATTAAACTTTATTAATCAAAAAGCTTGCCTAATTAATTGAAATAATGAGACTTATACAATTTAACAGCAATTTATTACAAATTTAACAAAAATGTAATTTATAAGGCCCTATGAAACTCAAATTTTACTCAAATTTTACCGAAATTCTGTGATTTCTGTTTTCATTTTTCTGGATTCCATTTTCAGTTAAATTTTTACCATAGACTGTAAAAAAAGATGGACGACACGTCTCAACTTCCTTCCACTATAGAAATCTTGACACCACACCCCATTTTTATAGCATCAATTAACTAATTAAAAGCAAACTTATTAAAAAAAAATAACACTTGAACATACATCAGCATGATAAGAACTACCTAAAATGACGCTTTGGGAAAAAATGTATTTGAAGTGTAATTTGATTATTTAGTTTGTCTCACGTCCCATTAGATTATATGTAGAGGGTGGGGTTTAAGACCTATACTAGGTCCAGCCTCCAGGGGGCGATCGAAACATTTTGGCTTCACTTTTCAGCGCTTGTGCGACACGCTTAATTTTGACCAAATTCTGGGTTTTCCATTTTAAATTTTTCTGGTTTAATTACATTTTAATAATCAAAAGCATGTCTAATTAATTGAATTCATAAAAACAACTAAATTCATTAATTTGTTTACAATAATAGGGCTCTATGAAATGTTTTGTTTTTTCAGAAATTCTGTGTATATCTTGTAATCAAATTAAAATTAAACAAACTCTTTCTTTGTTTATTTTCATTTATTTATTAATTGTTTTGCAAACAAAGTGCTGCACAACAGAGGTTTACTGTTAAAATTAAAATGGTGCGATTATTCCTTAAAAAATAATATATATTTGTTTTAAACCAAACTTTTATTTTGACAGGATGCCATGAAGACCTTTAAGCTTCTGCGTGTTTATGATATGACGAAAGTTTTCTCAAATGAAACCGTAAAATGTTAATGAAATGACTCTCAGAGCAGCTCTGGAGATGAAGTTCATGTGCACTTTTTAGAATTTATCCGACCTTCTTTCTTAAGAAGATTTTTATAAATCTTGAGGTGTTTGACATGAATGTCTCTTCCACTAGAACCTTCTGGTCCACTGCATCAGCACCGGGTTGCTCTGGGTCGTGGGTTCGAGAGTCATTTACTGAGGACTGCCGGTGTCCGTCTTACTCCATGATTTTCATCTGAACCAAAACACAACTTTCATTTCGAGGGACACGGATGCTCCAAATTATTCCACAGGAGTCCTCCAACATCTGAAACCAAATTCTCTCCATCGAAAGCTAAGCATTCTGTCACCTTCCTGTGCATCTGTGCCTCCACCAACCCAACACACAAGCCTGTTCTTCTGAAGCTCTGCTATCTACCTCCATAATGCACCTGCACCCGTTTCTGATGCCTTCGATTATAGATTTCACTCTGTACTGTTTTTCTACTCTCATCTGTCTTCTGATTCATACGTACTGTATTTATATATGTTTGAATGTACTTCTGTGTGTCAGTTTGCACGTGTGTTTTTGAATGCAAAACTCGTTAATGCACGAGTCGCTGAAAGACAAGCTAATGTACATGAATGTTTCTATTTGGTAGTATTTTATTTTCAGGAGAAAATCTCTTCTTTGAACAATCTGTGCACAATACTACAGTGCCTTATGTGAACGCCACTTTCACACTTTGACCAAAGCCACTTTGACATCAGCGTTTTCGTTTTGTTTGCACGGTCTGAAAGCTGTGTTTGAAACCGCACTCGATTCCTCGTGAAAATGAGATACGGTTACTGTGTTTTCAGTTGGTATAAGACCAAAGCAAAGCACCCTAAATTGTGGTCGTAAACCGCAACTGATGTCGTATAATTTGCCCGTGACAGTATAAATAATTTCTCATTGCTGCTCGTCTCTGCAGAAATTGCCTTTCCATAAAATCCAATTTATTTTATTAAAATAAATGTCCAATTTATTTATTATTACAGCATCTCTGACTCTTAAAGGGGTCATATGATGCTTTTTTAAATATCATTATTTTGTGTATTTGGTGTAACAGAATATGTTGACATGCTTTAATGGTCACTCTCTCAAACGCTTCGTTTTCTACAAAGTCCCTCCTTCCGACAAGCGCAGTCTGCTCTGATTGGCCAGCTGACCCAGTGCATTGTGATTGGCCGAACACCGCAAGCACTCGTCGGAAATGTAATGCCCCTTACCATAATCGCGAGCTTCATCTTTCAAAATAAATGTAAAGACAGAGCCTGAAAGGGGAACAGAGTCACGTGACACACACAGTGATGAAGCTGGTTTGTGTTTGTGATGTGACCCCCTCTCTCTCTCTCTCTCTCTCTCGCGCTCTCAATTCACTCTCTCTCTCTCTCTGTCCCTCTCTCTCTCTCTCTCCCCCTCCCTACCTCTCTCTGTCTCTCTCTCGCGCTCTCTCTCTCTGTCTCTCTCGCTCTCTCTCTCTCTCTGTCTCTGTCTCTCTCACTCTCTCTCTCTCTCTCGCGCTCTCTCTCTCTCTCTGTCTCTCGCGCTCTCTCTCGCTCTCTCGCTCGCTCGCTCTCTTTCTCTCTCTCGCTCTCTCTCTCGCGCTCTCTCTCACTCTCTCTTTCTCTCTCTCGCTCTCTCTCTCTTTCTCTCTCTCGCTCGCTCGCTCTCTCTCTCGCTCGCTTGCGCACACACACACACGATGCGCAAAACTCCGCATTTGAACAGTCAATAGCAAATACTTAAACTAGTAACAAAACAACAAAACAGTAGCTGATTCAGAAGCGCCAGATTGTCATAGCAAAGTCAGAATTACCTCCTCTCCTAGGTTCACGAAACGGTCGTCCATAAAATGCATTGCTGTTCTGTTGTAAGTAATCTTAAAGATTCCTAAATGCATCTACTTCCGGAAGGCCAAATAAAGTGCTTTTGCTTTCGCCTAGAAACACACAGTGTCTCCCTGACATGCTGCTTCAACACTAACTGCGGTTACTGAAACCACGCCTTCTTTCTTTGTGTGAACATTTGGGCGCATTATGCTAATATTCCCACATAGTGAGGTAGATATGTGGGGGCGTGTTAGAACGAGCCATTTTAGGGGGGCGTGGCAGAGTCTTAACTTTTATAAAGAATATCTCTTTGGTTTTGAGACTTTAGTGTTTGCGACTTCAGGGATCTTATCTATGCACAATCAGCTTGTAACACTCCAAAGAGAAAGGAAAACTTGAAATCGCATCATATGACCCCTTTAATATACTGTATAATGACTTTCTCACACACATATAGTATAACATCAGGATTGCACCAAATATGTTTTTATTTGCCTTTAAGTAATATTTCAACAGTTTTATTGATGCTTTTGTTGCCTTTTGTTATTTGCGATGTTATTCTTATTCCCATCACACATTAAACAGTCATTCGTCTCAGTTCATTTTCTTTCATTGCTTGCTGTTTCAGTGTCCTAATTGGCATTTCAGTGTGATTCTGATGCTGTGGTTTGAGTAACGCAGTCACTGGCGTCACCGAGCCGTAGCGGGTATTTAGCGTGCATGTGCTCATTACAGATCAAAGGGCTCGTCTTGCTTACATGCACCCTTCTGCACACATACTATACGCTCACTACATTTATTTTGTGGCATTTTTTGCATGCTTGCTCAGCAGCATGCTAGGTACAGTATACTTAAGATTCAGGTAATCATGTGTTTTCTGACTAACATGCTTGATGTTCAGTTTGTAGGATGGAATGTGTCTGAATGAACAACCAACACAGTAACTCTAACCAGTACTTTCTGCGCTGCTTTACATAAACAAGTTTGAACACGTGGCCAGATTTGTTATACTTTTATGCTTCTGCTTAAATGCTTTTAATGACTTTTGTAAAAACAAAAAAGAAACATTTAGTTTTCTAACAAAAATGCCTATTTATGAATATCTTTACAAAATTATTTTTTTAAATGTGTATTTATATGTACTATATATATTGAATATACTGGTTAAAATAATATAATTACTATGTATAATGAACCACATGCTACTTTTTCTGTAATTGATTTAACCAAAAATATGCCCATTTAGTTTTAGTAAACCAAAACAATGCCTAAACTAAATGCCAGTGTATGGATTTCTTTACAAATATGTGTGTGTGTACACACACTACCATTCATTTTTAATGTTTTTAAAAGAAGTCTCTTCTGCTCACAAAGGTTCATTCATTTGATCCAAAACACAGCAAAAACTGTAATATTGTGAAATATTTTTACAATTTGAAATAACTGTTTTCTATTCGAATACATTTTAAAATGTAATTTATTGCTGTGATGCGCAGCTGAATTTTCAGCATCATTACTCCAGTCTTCAGTGTCACATGATCTTCAGAAATCATTCTAATATGCTGATTTGCTGCTCATGAAACATTTCTGATTTTACATACATGTATATAACTAGTATGCATACTGACTGAACATGCTAAAAGCTACGATAATGAACCACATGCAAATTTTTAGTGTATTTGATTTTGTTTGTCAGAGCTGTGGTACAGTGGTTAGATGGTGTGTTCATGACCGATAAGAATTAAATCTGGTCTGTGTCAGAAAAAAGATCCCTTTTTTTCCCAACTTCCGGTCTGCTCTTTACTGCCAACATACAATAAAAATGGCAAAATCATTAATAAAAATAGTGACATAATTGAAAAGACAACAGATGAGCTCAGTGATTGGCTTTCCAGTGAGGTCATGGTTAATTTCTCCAGTGGGCTCATTGAAGGGCTTTCTAATGGGGTCTGCGAGGGTTAAAAGCAGATAAGGTGTTTTCTTTAGTGTGTGCTTCAGAATCAAGGCTAAACGCTCTAGGCGAGTTTGGTGGGATTTTGTTTTATAACTATGAAGGGTATAGCCTAGTTTCATTTTATAAATGCAAGGGGTTTGGTGGCGTTTTATTCTAAATGAAATGAGATTCTGGGTAACCGAGGGGGGAAACGTCATCTCTGACCCACTGCTTTATGGGTGCTGACAGCAGTGGATTCTGGGATTAGGGGATGAAAAGAAAGGCATTCCAGCCCATCCACTAAACACCAGAGCAAACTGTAACATCAAAAGAGAACATGACCAATAAAAATCTAATGAAACTAAGCAGAATTATCTGTTTTATATGTGTGTGTGTGTATATATATATATATATATATGTGTGCATTTTTATTATATATCTATATAATTTATTTTATATTTGTAATTATTTCTCGCTATATATCTCTATATATATATATTTATATAATAATCATAATAATAATTGTATTTATCTGTCTTTCTCTATATGTGTATTTTTAATATATACTTCTATAATATATTTAATATTTTTATTAATTTCTTTCTGTACAATAAAATCAAAATAAGAGAATGAAGAATATATTTTCAAATATACACACACACACACACACACACAAAGGCCAAAAATATATTGGTAAACATACGTGAGTAAATATATTTGAAAAATATCTTAACAAATGTATATATTGGCCATTTTTAAAAAATATATATTTAATTTATAATTTTATGTATTTGACATATTAAAAATACAATACAAAAACTTTAATTAAAATGAAAATATCAAATGTCAAAATATTAGCAAACTATAATAGTATCTTAATGATATATTCAATGTTTCTGAAATTAATGGAAGTTGCATTTTCAAATATTTTAAAACTTTGAAGCGTTGCTTCAAAAAAACTCATTGTAGATGTTTACATTTAGAGAACGTATTGATGTATTTCCTTACATTTTCCTTACATATAAAAATATACAAAAATGACCAAAACAAATACAGGTAAATATATGAAATTATATAAATAAATATGTAAATATATTTTGAAACTGATATTTAGCTATTTTTGGAATATTCTGAAATATATTTAATACTTTTATATTTAGTGTTTAATATATTTGAAAACATTTTACACTGGGCGTCGCCGCTGCGCTTCCAGTGACAGAGAAACTTTTCCCGCTCCTGTGTTTTTCCTTTCAGGAACAGATTGAAAACATTCTTCCCACAAACCCCAAACCAAGTAATGCTGCTACTTAACGAGTGACCTGTTTACATCATAAACGCGAAACTCACCTCAGTGAAAATTGAAAGCCCGCCCGCCCGTTTCCCGCGCAAACCAGCTGCTCCCGCCAGCCGTTAATGAGGGGCTTTGTGGCCGAAAGAATGATAATGAAAGTGCGTGACTCTGGAGAAACTCCACTCTTTCATCTGTGCACCAAACGTTGTTCGAGAACGTTTCCCAAATATTTTCGATATTTGTGGGATTACAGATTTTTCTACTGGTGAGAAAGTACAACATTCCACACTTTGCTTTTTCCGGTTATTTAAGTGCATCATCCGGGTATTTAAAACGAACTTTTTATTTTTGGAATTTTCAGTGCGAACGCACTATTTATACTACAAAACGTCATAAAATAGTGCATAAGTACGCGATTTGGGACGCACCTTATGTCTCAGTAATAAAAAATGTTATAATAAAAAAATACAAATTAAAAAAATTAAAAAACAATAAAAAAAAAAAGATGTGATTTATCGCCATCTAGTGGATTGATCTTGCAAGTACAACTTTCAAAACGTTCTGTGGCGGTGGACTAATAGTATCAGAGAGCAATAACGTGGTACTTTGACATATACCATGGTACTACAATTCATGTACCATAATATTTACATAGCATTTCAAAAATCACATGTGCAAAAACATAATACATGGTACTTAAGTTTTCTATTCATTATTTTGAATGTACCATGCAGGGTTTCTGTGGGTCTTAAAAACCTTAATTTGCCCTTCCAAAATAATTAATAATTATTAAATCAGAGGAGAAAGTCTTAAATCATGGCATTTAATGTTACACACACTGCAAAAAATGTATATCTTCCTCTGTATTTTGGTCTTGTTTTCCAATACAAATATCTAAACATCCTTAAATCAAGATACAATTACTTGAGATGCAAAATTAAGCTATTAAGTCTTGTTTTCTGCGGAAATTAAACCTAAAAAAAAAAAAAAGTTGCATGAAATAAAATAAACGTTAATGGATTTATTTCAGCTACTTACCAAGGAAACATTTATTTTTCATTAAGTTTAACTTTATGTACTAAAATAAATAACTAAAACTGAATTAAAAACTATAGACATTGACAAAAAAGAAAAGAAAAAACGTTTAAAAACTTTAAAAAAAAAACTTTAAATGAAAAAAAAAAATTTTTTTTAAATATGAGCAAAAATATAAAAGTATCTCAATGATACTAAAATAAAACTGGTTCTCAAACTTTTGAAGTGTTGCTAACATTTACATTTAGAGAGCATCGATGTATTGTATTCCTTTTAATTTATTCCTTAAAATGTCTTCAATTATTCTTAAATCTTACAGTAAATGTACCTTCATAAAACTCGCAGAAACCCTGACTAAAGTGAAACTTTCGCAATGAAAACGATCGAATTAAAACATATTTTATTTACGTTCACATACGTCACATTCAGCGGACAGAAATCGTTTGCTTTAATAGGAGGTCAACATTTACAGATGACGCAGAAACAAACGTTCACAGATTTTCAGTCTGGTATGTCATACAAAGCCAGCATAATATATATCTGAAAAAGAAAATAACTAAAGGAAAATAACACAAATTCGCCCTCAGGTTAGTGGATATTTCGTGGTGTGCATTCACAATAGTGACTCGTGTATAGACTGTGGTGAAATGCAACGAGAATCAGTCAACATCTGAAATCAGTGAACTTTAAGGCAGCTCGATATCTTTCTGATGATTAAACGAAGACAGAATTGAAATGATGAGTGCTGAACTTCTCAATAAACCACCTCATGTTTCTCATATGCATAAACACACACACCAGAAATGTTTCATCAAGCAGGTGTTTTGGATCACCTCGGCCACACCTCCAGGAAGTGACGTCACTCTGGGAGTCTATTTGAGGTTTTTGAGCTGCCGGTTGGTGGAGCCGATCTTGCCGTCCATCGTGTCGACCTTATTGAGCAAAGCGTCCAGAGAAACATCCTGGTCATTGATCTCGGCCTGCAGCCCCAGCCCCAGATTCTTCAGTCGGCCCAAACCCAACGACATTTCATCTGCAGGACACAAACGCACGTTCAGATCCGGTGTGATCCCATCAAGGTATGAGAAAAGCTGACGTGTGTTTCTCACCGAGGTTACTGTCCAGCTGTTGATGGGCGGCCCGTAGCTGTTTGTTCTTGGGATGTCCGTTCTGATCGGACGGCCCGTTATCCAGCGAAGCAGAAGCTCCGAATCCTGTTCAAACCAACATTTGTGATTCTGATAAAACTTTAAGCTTTGAGAATCATTTGTTTTGAACCAGTGATTCACTAAAACTGCCAAAGTCACATGATTTGTCTTCAAAAGTTTCAGTATTTCGATGGTTTGCTGCTAAGAGGCAATGATCTCTGTGAACCCATGAATCAGTGTCTATATGGATTTAACCTGATTTTGGATCAGTTTTATAAATATGATTTATATGTGACCCTGGACCACAAAATAAGTGTCAATTTTGTGAAATTGAGATTTATGCATCATCTGAAAGCTGAATAAATAAGATTTCCATTGATGTATGGTTTGCTAGGATAATATTTGAAAATCTGGAATCTGAGAATGCAAAAAAAATCTAAATATTGAGTAAATCGTCTTTAAAGTTGTCCAAATGAATTCTTAGCAATGCATATTACTAATCAAAAATTAAGTTTTGATATATTTACGGTAGGAAATTTACTAAATATCTTCATGGAACATGATCTTTACTTAATATCCTAATGATTTTTGGCATAAAAGAAAAATTAATAATTTTGACCCATACAATGTATTGTTGGCTATTGCTACAAATATACCCCAGCGACTTAACACTGCTTTTGTGCTCCAGGCTCACATTTGTATAGTATAAAGACATTTTTAGTAGTCTCTTATTGGCCTGATTAACCATAAAACAAACAAAACAAGACCCGCAAATTAATAAAATAACACATATTATACAGACAATTCATGTTGAATGGTATCAGATGATTTGTTATATGCATTTAATAGATTGCACTTTCAATAAAACATTTGCAATTGGTTTCTAAATGTATTTTTATGCATGTTTGAGCTGAGTTTTCACTGTTTTGACCAGCATGTGGTGTTCAAAATTTTGAAAAGCTGACACTGAGCGCTTTCTTCTCTGGTAATACTTTGTGAATCATTTGTTTCGAACAAGTGATTCGAAGTGCATTTATTGTCATACCTGTATCTTCGACTATTTTCACGGCAAGATCAAGGTGTTTGAAAAGAAATAACATTAACATACAGTAGTAATTAAAAACCACAACTCATTATACATGATTTTTCATTTCAATGTTTGATGAAAAAATGTAAGATTATTCCTGGTGAAACTTTTTAAAAAACATCCATTAGAAAATATTGCCTAGTGGCATTTACAGCAGAAATAACGTTATACACACGCTTCTTATTTAATGGTATTTGATGATTTTGGATTTTATAGATTCTACTTTCAACAGAACATTTGCAATTGCTTTGTAAAAGTAGTTTTTATGCAGGTTTTTGACCAGAGTGTGGCGTTTCGAGCACTTCAAAACAGTGAATCATTTTGCAAACTGATTCAATTGATTCAAAGTTTTGAAAAGCTTCGTTTCTCCCGTTACTAACACTGGCTCTCAAAGGAACGTGGGTAAACTTGTAAAAAGCGTCTGTGTTTACCAGATGTGTCCAGTTTCCTGAGATTGGGATGGCTGGCTTGATATTTGTCTTCCTGCTGTTTGCTCTCCGTAAGCGCGTTCTGTAACCTTATATCACCAGACATTCACAAAATTAGCCTTGTTGTTCAGTAATATTCAGAAATGTTGTATCTCCAGATATGGCATCGTCCCAGACTAAGACCTACAGTATATCGATGTGAATCAAAACAAATATGTGGATATAGATGTAGAGTCTTGGATCTCGGCTAATTTTTTACAACGATTCAAACGGTTTTTTTCCATTATGAATTTTTTTGGGAATATATTCAGTGTTTTGTCAGCTGAAGGAACTGCACGTCTATTCATCACAGCCTCGTTTTCATTTCACATTGAATCTCAAGCCTTTTGCTTGAAATGCTTGAGTTTAGTAGTTTTTTTTTTATTGGTTTTCCGGGTCTTAAAAGTCTTGATTCGCAGTTCCACAAATTATGGCCTTAAATCAGAACTGAAAGTCTTAAATTCATAAAGTCATGCATATAAATGTTGCACGCACTGCAAAAAATGATGTTCTTCCTCAGTATTTTTTGTCTTGTTTGCCAGTACAAATATCTAACCATGCTTAAATCGATAATTTGAGATAATATAGATACTGGAGATGCAAAATGAAGATATGAAGTCTTTGTTTTCTGAAAACACTGAACAAAATGAAGTGAGGTTATGCTTAAAACAAGAGCAAATATCTGGGGAATGAGAACTTGTTTTCTCTTTGAATTAAGTAGATTTTTCTGACGCATTGGCAGATATTTGTTCTTGTTTTAATCATTATCTCAGTTTCACAGAAAGCAAGACTTCTTATCTTAAATAAGATCTTGATTTGAGAATCTTTAGACATTTGCACTGGAAAACAACATTTTCATGTTCTAGAGGTTAAAGGGTTAGTTCACCCCAAAATGAAAATTAGGCTGTGTTTTACTCACCCCCGATGCATCCTAGGTGTTTCTGTGATGCGCAGCTGAATTTTCAGCATCATTACTCCAGTCTTCAGTGTCACATGATCTTCAGAAATCATACTAATATGCTGATTTGCTGCTCAAGAAACATTTTTTATTAGTATTATTAATAATAAAAACAGTTGAGTATATATTTTTTAGGATTCTTTGATGAATAGAAAGATCCAAAGATCAGCATTTCTCTGAAATACAAAGCTTTTGTAACATTATACACTCTACCATTCAAAAGCTTAGAGTCAGTATATACTGTATATATATTTTTTTTTTTGGGGGGGGGAAGAAATTATAGAAATACTTTAATTTAGCAAGGATGCTTTAAATTGATCAAAAGAGATGATAAAGACATTTATGATGTTACAAAATATTTCTATTTCAGATAAACGCTGTTCTTCTGAACTTTCTGTTCATCAAAGAAACCTGAAAAAATTCTACTCAGCT